TCCTGCCTCAGCCTCCCAAGTAGCTGGGACTACAGGCGCCCGCCACAACGCCTGGCCATTTTTTGGTTGCAGCCATCATTGTTGTTTGGAGGGCCCGGGCTAGGGATTCGAACCCACCACCTTAGGTGTATGTGGCTGGCGCCTTAGCTGCTTGAGCCACAGGCACCGAGCCAAGGAGGTCACTCTTAAAGAATAGAAAATCCTGGAGGAATTTTAAGAGAGTGGCTGTTTTTCCACAATCCTTAGAATTGAAAAATAAAAATGTCTGACCCTACTGTAGATCTATGGAGTCATAACTGCCAGTGATATATCTGAGTATTCTAAAGTTCCCCTCAGGAGAATTCTACCAATAATATATATATTTTTTTTTTTTTTTGAGACAGAGTCTCACTCTGTTGCCCTCAGTAGAGTCCTGTGGCATCACCGCTCACAGCAACCTCAAAGTCTTGGGCCTAAGCTATTCTCTTGCCTCAGCCTCCCAGGTAGCTGGGATTATAGGTGCCTAACACAACGCCCGGCTATTTTTTGGTTGTAGTTGTCATTATTGTTAAGGAGGCCTAGGCTGGGTTCGAACCCGCCAGCCCCGGTGTATGTGGCCGGTGCCTTAGCCATTGAGCTACGGGTACTGAGCCCTACCAGTAATTTTTTAAAGTTCTCCAGGGAGTCTGCTGTTCAGAATTTTTTTACATGAATGTGAACGAAACTTGGTTTTTTTTGTGTTAGGGGTTCATGTTAGGCAAATGGATAATAAGAATAGTAGATACTTTCTACTGACTTTTAATTTCTTTTTCTTAATAGTAGAGAATGTAGGGGAACAAGAGGCTTTTCTCTGACCTTAAGAATTGAACGGCAGTGCCCATCACTCAGTGGTTAGGGCGCCGACTACATACACCCGGGTTTGAACCTGGCCTCAGCCGGATAAACAACAACAAAAAAAATAGGGAGACGGAGGCAAGAGAATCGGTTAAACCCAAGACTTTGAGGTTGCTGTGAGCTGTGATGCAGTGGCACTCTACCAAGAGTGACATAGTGAGACTCTGTCTCAAAAAAGAAAAAAAAAGAATTGAAGATCCATAAGTTCAAATCTCTGGCACTAAGGGATATATAAATTCCTTGTATTCACTGGAGAAAATTGTGACAGTTTTGTATTTGTTGCTGGAAATTTTCTTTTTGATTGAAATCACCTCATTCCATTAGTAATCTCCAGCCCTTCCTTAACATATACCAGCAGTCTGCTCTATTTTGTTTTCTCTGACATTTTCCTTCTTTTCATTCCCCACAGTGAATCATCATCTACAATTTCATCTAACCAGAGTCAAGAGTCTGGTTATCAGAGTGGCCCAATTCAGTCAACAACTTATACCTCCCAAAACAATGCTCAGGGCCCTCTTTATGAACAGAGATCCACACAGACACGGCGATACCCTGGTTCCATCTCTTCATCCCCCCAAAAGGACCTGACTCAGGCAAAGGTAGTGGCTTCATGAGCCTTCCCCCCACCCATCGTCATTGGTTAGAAGAACAGTGGGTAAAAATCCCTGAAAGATCTGTGTTTTACTTTTTGGCATGTGGTGTTAAGAAACGTAGTATGTACTAATTGAGAAGCTGGAAAAGACACATTTCTGTGATAAAACTTCTGTTCAGGAAGCCTGGAGATTCATGAGCCAGAAAACCATTCTCTTTGCACTAAAAAGTTCATTATTTCTAGTACAACCAGTCTTGAGTGCCTATCCTGTCTTCTGAGAACATGTGATTGCTAGATTTCTGGGGTGTCCTGGCGTGGTGAAGGACATAGCCTAGGCCAGAGGTGATGGTGAGTGACAGTCAGATGCAGCCAGCGGAATAGATGGTTTGGCTGAAGTGTTTTACTCCCAAGGTTCATTAGATTTGGGCTTTTATATATCAATTTTGGATTTGGGTATCCTCTGCAGTTTGGGGGGTTATCTTCTGTTGTTTTTGGTCACACAGGGTCAGGATATCTAGATTATGTTAAATTAATTTTTGTTGCTATTTTGGTTCTTTGGATAGTCTGCATGGAATTTAGCCTTTGATTAACTTGCAGAGTTTGTTCTAAAGGTTTGTTGACCAGAATTAAGCTGAGTCAGTGCTAATTTGCCCTATTCACATGAGTTTGTCTGTTTCCTGCTTCTCTGTTTCTGTACCAGAATGGCTTCAGTTCTGTGCAGGCCACGCAGCTACAGACCACACAGTCTGTTGAAGGTGAGTGTTGTGTTCCTCCCCTCTCAATGGTTTTTCCTTTCTTAAATAGTAGTGAAAAGAGCCCTGGGTCAATGATCACAATATTTTGTTATAGTCTATGTTGATTGCACTTTGCTGCTTAATCTTAAACTTTCCTAAGTTACAGATTTTCTTTTCCATTTTTTCTTCTTTTTTTGAGACAGTGTCTCACTCTTGCCTTGGAAGAGTGCCATGGTGTTGTCGTAGCTCATGGCAACCTTAAACTCCTGGGTTAAAACAGTCCTCCTGCCTCAGCCTCCCCAGTAGCTGGGAGTACAGGTGCCCACCACAAATGGCTGGCTCATTTTTCTATTTTAGTAGAGATGGGGTTTCACTCTTGCTCAGGCTGGTCTCAGATTCCTGAGATCAAGCAATCCATTGCGTTGGCTACCCAGAGTGTTAGGATTACAGGTGTGAGCCCCTGTGCCCAGCCTAAGTTTTGGATTTTCTATCTTGAGATGGTGATAATTCCATTGGTTCCCTTTGTTGAACAAATGAGATCAGTCCTATGAAATGCTTGGAATTAAGATAAAAATGCTGATACAAATGGTGCATTGTTAAATAATTACTGTTTTGGGGGAGCCTAGCACTGTATTTGCCTTTTTACTTATAGACACTTTTTCCTCTGATGAAGTGAATTCTTTTTTATTTCCAGGTGCTACAGGCTCTGCAGTGAAATCTGACTCACCTTCCACTTCTAGCATCACCCCCCTCAATGAAACGGTATCTGCAGCCTCCTTGTTGACGACAACTAATCAGCATTCAGCCTCCTTGGGTGGCTTGAGCCACAGTGAGGAGATTCCAAATACCACCACACCACATAGCAGGTGATTTGGGGTGAGAATGGAGGTTGAGGTTGGTGACTAGCAGTAATAGAGTGCTCTGGTTCTGTGTTATTCCCTCTACCTGGCAGCCTTATTTCCTTGCTCATGTTCTTGACTAAAGCTCCAGTTCAGGTAACCACACCACTCTGGCTGATGGCAGTGTCTTTTCTGACAGCACGTTATCTACGCAGCAGAATACCCTTTCATCATCAACATCTTCTGGGCGCACTTCAACATCCACTCTTTTGGTAAGTGTGATTCTGAGAGGAAATGTGATTTCTTACATTTATAACTATCCAACCCTAAGATTCTCTTGAGGGAATTCTTGAAAATTTCTCTATGAGGTGGCAAAGTAATTGATATGAAATTTCAGGAATGGTATTAAGGAATGTTGGGAAACCAAGAGATGCAGAAGAATCCACAGATACTACAGAGCTCTGGAGAACAGTCCTAAAACCTTGGAAGTAACTTTCTAACCCCTTTCTCCCCCTGCTCCCCCCCCACAAGATAGGTAGGCTTCAGTGCTGTGGTAAATTCTGTAAGATCATACCTTTCTAACTGGTAGAGCTATTCTCCTTCCCTTTCTGGGGTATGCTGAAAATGGGTCCTGAAAATAACTAGTGAGGGGCTGGATATTTTTATAAAAGTAGAGGACAGATGAAAATTTTTGGTCAGAGAATTACATTGTTGTTATTTATGAAATTAAGATGAAATCATAAAGCAAAGCCCCTTTTGGACAAAGGTGTCAGGTTTGCAAGAAGCCTGGGGTAAGATGTGGCCTAAGGCTTTCATAGGCATCTTTTCTCCCTCAAATACACAATTTCAGGTTTAAAGTCAGAACTTGTGCTTTTTTCCTAGCCTGCAAACAAGTATCTTGGGCTGGATTAGTGAAGAAAATGTAGGGGAGAAGGCTGTGGAAGACTGTTCATATCTTACCTTATCTCTGTCCCTTAGTGTTTGTCTCTGAGGCGTTTATTCCCTTCTGCGTTCCTATGTATTTTTTGCTTTCTTTTTTTTTTTTTTTTTTTGAGACAGAGCCTCAAGCTGTCACCCTGGGTAGAGTGCAGTGGCATCATAGCTCACAGCAACCTCCAACTCCTGGGCTCAAGCGATTCTCCTGCATCTGCCTCCCAAGTAGCTGGGACTACAGGCGCCTGCCACAACAGCTAGCTATTTTTTGGTTGCAGCCGCCATTGTTGTTTGGCAGGCCTGGGCTGGATTCGAACCCACCAGCTCAGGTGTATGTGGCTGGTGCCTTAGCCGCTTGAGCCATAGGTGCAGAGCCTTTTTTATTTTTTTTTTAAAGACAGAGTCTTTATTGCCCTTGGTAGAGTGTCGTTGTGTCTTAGCTCACAGCAACCTCAAACTCTTGGAGCTCAAGCAGTTGGGCTCAAGCAGTTTTCTTGCCTCAGCCTCCCTAATAGCTGGGAGTACAGGCCCGCCAGAGTGTCCAGCTATTTTTAGAGGTGAGGGCTCACTCTGGCTCAGTTTGGTCTCAAACCTGTGAGCTCAGGCAATCCACCTGCCTCGGCCTCCCAGAGTGCTGGGATTACAGGTGTGAGCCACCATGCTCAGCCACATTCCTGTATTTCTGAACAGGATGATGATGGGCAGATGCATCTTGAGGAATGTGTAGCTGCAGACTCTTACTACTTTGGCAGAGGGCACCTTGCTTTGGACTTTTTAATTGGGAAGTTGACATGATAATATAATCAGCTGAGTGTTGTGGCAGGCACCTGTAGTCCCAGCTACAGGAGCTGAGACAGTATTACTTGAACTCAGGAATTTGAGGTTGCTGTGAGCTAGGCTGATGTTACACTATTTTAGCCTGGGTGACACAGTGAGGCTCTGTCAATAAATGAGTATTAATTCATTAATTCAGCAGAAAGGATCGCTCTGTCCTGTGATGGTAATCTCTGTTTTTTTTTTTCTCTCCTTCCACTGCTCCCCCTTTTTGAAGCACACAAGTGTGGAAAGTGAGGCGAATCTCCATTCTTCCTCCAGCACTTTCTCCACCACATCCAGCACAGTCTCTGCACCTCCCCCAGTGGTCAGTGTCTCCTCCAGTCTTAATAGTGGCAGTAGCTTGGGTCTCAGCCTGGGCAGCAACTCCACCGTCACAGCCTCAACTCGAAGCTCAGTTGCTACAACTTCAGGTAGACTTATAAGGGGATGGCCTTCTTTTGGGATGTAGGAGATAAGTAATTGTGTGATAGGATAAGAATGTAATTTCTCTTTCAGGAAAAGCTCCTCCCAACCTCCCTCCTGGGGTCCCGCCATTGTTGCCTAATCCATACATTATGGCTCCAGGGCTGTTACATGCCTATCCGGTAAGTGAGGCTGAATAGTCTTCTCCAAAAGGTAAGGATGATAGGGCTGCTGATTTTATAGCTCCATTTCAGGTGGAAGACTATACAGGTGTTCCTTAGCCTACACTAGGGATTGGGTCCAGGACCCCTGCTTGTACTAAAACTTACACATACCCAACCAAGCCTACCATTTGCCTTGCAGAACCTGAGTGTAGGCAGGCATCTAAGCCAAAGGCCTGCATATCACCCAGAATCTCTTTCAGTTTCCTGGAGAATTACTTTCTCTAGTTGAATTGATTGCCTAATTCTGGGGGTCTGAACTGCTCCAAGCAGAGTTTTCTGACTCATTCTGGGACTGTCTGAGAGTAAGTGGCTGACAGTGGTAGCTTTTTGCCCTGGGTTATCTTCTGTCATCTTTAAGTATTTGGCACCTAGTAAAATAAAAGGTATTTATGAAAAATTTTTAGAAAGATACTTGTTCTTAAGCAGAGTATCTCACAGTTGTAATCCTAGCACTTTGGAAGGCTGAAACAGGAGGATTACTTGAGCCCAGGAGTTTGAGACTCTGTGGGGTAATATAGTGAGACCCATTTCTATCCCTCCCTTCCCAAGAAAAATGTTTAAAAAATGTGGTGTGCACCTAGCTACCTGGGAGGCTGAGGCAGGTGAGTTCTTGAGTTCAAGGCTCCAGCGTGGGCAATAGAACAACTTGTTTTAAAAAAAGGCAGCACCCCCCCCCCAAAAAAAAAAAAACAAAAACAAAACCTAAACCTATGGTGTATCCTCCTAGAGGAACCCTAGATAAAGATCACATACATGAAGTGTCCAAATAGGACTGTTGGATTTTTTTTTTTTTTTGAGACAGAGCCTCAAGCTATCGCCCTGGGTAGAGTGCTGTGGCATCATAGTTCACAGCAACCTCCCAACTCCTTGACTTAAGTGATTCTCTTGACTCAGCCTTCCACGTAGCTGGGACTACAGGCACCCACCACAAAGCTCGGCTAATTTTTTTGTTGTTGTTGTAGTTGTTGTTTGGCAGGCCTGGGCTGGGTTCAAACCTGACAGCTCTGGTATATATGGCTGGCGCCTTAACCGCTTGAGTTATAGGCGCCACCCATGTTGGATATTTTTTTGAAAACAATTACAACACTACTTTAGTAACCAGAAATTGATGAAAATGAGAATATAATACGAATCCTTTCTGGAGGAGGTAAATTTTATTCTAGATTTTGAAGGCTGTAGGAGACAGAGTAGCTAGTAGAGCAGCCTGCTCATATGTAACTGGTGTCTACTCTTTGCTGCCAAGAGACTGTTGTGGTTGAGTCAGTGGCACATAACTTCAAGGAAGGCTTCAAGCCCTCCCAAGAGTCACATCATCTCTTTGTGCTTTGCTTTTTTATCTTTTAAGAAGCTAAAGGAAATAATCCATGACCTGCTCTAACCAAGAATGGGGATACGTATTCTTTTAGAATTAGCTTACCTGTTAGCTCATTGGTTTGTTAACATGAACAGTTCCCATTATTGTTACATACCTCTATTTTTCAGCCACAAGTATATGGTTATGATGACTTGCAGATGCTTCAGACAAGATTTCCATTGGTGAGTTTGGGGGCGTATAGCTTTGGAAAAGGAAATGATTTTAAAATGAATGTTGGGAGGGTTATCTCACCTGTTCCATTGATAAGTTATTGGTGTAGTTCTCACTTGTGCCGTACCTATACACACACACACTTTGATTGGCATATAGGGATGTGGAGGAGCAGTTCAGACAGAGGTAACTTTTTTTTTTAATATCAGAATTGTGACATCTTTGAAGTAAACACATTTTAATCTAATCTGAAGTCTAATATAGTACTCTGGAGCTCTCTAGATATTTTCTGTATCTCCCAGGTACTTTAACTTATAGAAAGAGAGATCTGTTTTCTCAGTGGAATAAGCAGAATAAGCAGATTGATAGGAATGATACCTAGAGAGTTGGAAAAACTATTGGTTCTTACTGACCTTCATAAGTTCTCAAGTGGGCATACCCATAGACCTTGCCTACTACTCGCAGCCAGGGAGTGGGTACAGTTTGTGCCAGAGTAATTTGGAGTTCATGACATCTGTAGGCAGCTTAATCAGTGGCTGGGTAAGTTGCAGTACTCTTAACATTCTTCTCTTTCTCACCCTGTAGAAAGAATTCTCATGTTGTGGAATGAGTGGCATTGAATCTGTTTTTATTCCTCTCTTCTAGGATTACTACAGCATCCCATTTCCCACACCCACCACTCCGCTGACAGGGAGGGATGGTAGCCTGGCCAGCAACCCTTATTCTGGTAGGACTGAGGTGGAACTCAGTACAGGGAGATTGTGCTGAGATTGGTGGTATAATCCTGACTAGTGTCAGGATGGCACCTGGATCTCACATTAGTTGAGGTTTTTGGGCAGAATTATAGAATGTGATGAGTCAGGGTTGGTAGATTCAGAATGCTGCTAAAGGTGGGCATGTGGCAGCTTTTTCCTTTTCATCCCACTTTCTGTTGTTTCCCTGTTATTTCTAGATGACATGTGACTTGCTTTCAAGCTGTTCCCCAGCTTTTTCTGCAAAGTACAGTGTTTGACCTCCTGTGCTCCTCCTCACAGTGGCAGTCTCATTGACTAGCTAGGCCTTGGGTCTTCTTTTTTTGCCTGACCTATCAGTACCCTCATTGACATATCATTTTCCCTGATCAGTCATTGTTCTTTAAGTCTGATACAGGAGGAGGAGAAGGAAGGGAAGAAAGGGGAAGACAGAACACAGGTGGGCAGAGAAATTGTGCTCTGGGAGCCTCTCTGTGCCATAGCATTGCACTTACTCAGCACTAGTACTGTGCTAAGTGTATGTTGAGCAATGCTAAATAAAGCTGCAGAGAAAGGTAATTTAGGAAATTGTACTTAACGGTCTCTAAATGGGATCTCATGAAATTATGTGAAACTAGAGAGGTAATTCTGCATTGACGTTGGGGTGAAGAGGCAGGTACATTTAGCCTCTCCTGTCACAGGTGACCTCACAAAATTCGGCCGTGGGGATGCCTCCTCCCCAGCCCCAGCTACAACCTTGGCCCAACCCCAACAGAACCAGACGCAGACTCACCACACCACGCAGCAGACATTCCTGAACCCGGCGCTGCCTCCTGGCTACAGTTACACCAGCCTGCCATACTACACAGGGGTCCCGGGCCTCCCCAGCACCTTCCAGTATGGGCCTGCTGTGTTCCCTGTGAGTACCTGGCTTTGGTCTCTCTGTATTGTAAAGGATCCTATCCTTGGGCTCTATTCTAGCTGCTTTCAAGGCTACACAACTCCTTAAGAATGAGAAAGAACAATTTTCATCTCCAGCCTGTTTCTGGCCTGGAATGGTAATTGGGGCTGGAATTGGTAGAATTAGGGTAGAGATTGCCTGTTCTTACAATTAGCCATGGGGGAATGTGATACCATATAGCTTTCCTTTACTCAGACTGTCATTTTCTGCTACCACTGCCCCTTCCCTCCTTCAGGCTGCCATTTCTTGATTTCAGTGATAGGCTGCAGAAGTACTAGTAAGCCCATTTCACTAAACAAACTATGGCCAGCCTACATCAGAAGAAATAACCATCTGAATGTCTGGTCCTTGGAGGGGCAAGTGACATGGATGGTATTCTGCTGCCATTTCACTGGAGTTGTGGCCTTTTTGCTCTTCAGGTGGCTCCTACCTCTTCAAAGCAGCATGGTGTGAATGTAAGCGTGAATGCATCGGCCACCCCTTTCCAACAGCCGAGTGGATACGGGTCCCATGGGTACAACACTGGTAAGTTCACCTTGGCCCCGACTCAGTGGTATCTGAGATGTTACTGGATATATTTCAGGGAGGAAGACATGGTGTTGAGAAAGTGGGGTTGGTTGGAGTGTGCTGCTCCTCTGGGTATGGTTGTTAATGCTGGGGTGTTTAGGATATCTGTGGGAGCAGCACCAACAGAGGAGCTTGGTACTAGGACATGGGTATGTTACTCATGATAGGAAGGCCCAAGCCTGTGTTGGCTATCAGAATATGTTGGCTGGATGAAAGGTGGGGTGGGAAGTAGGACAGGGAGCCCCAAGATTTTGCTGAAGTGTCAGTGGAGGCAGGTGTTGTTATGTATGGCACTAACTCACTGACTAGAAGGGCTACATGGGTTTATCGCTAGCAGACTGTGATGGGTTTGGCTTAAATCTTTGTGTAGTAGTGCTGCTTATGTGGCTCCTTTTTATTCCCTAGCTAGAAGACCTGAGATGTGGAGAGAAAGTAGTAGGGTGACTACTCTTTAGAGGGAAAATTGGACTGGGAGAGTTGGACCTTTTTAGATCCTTCAGTTTGTATGGCTGGTCTCTTTGCAAAGTCCATCTGCACATCACATGTCAGTAAGGGAAACAGGAATCCTCTAGATAGGTACTGACCTAAAATGTACTTAGCCTGTGCCTTGCTTATGGCCATGCCTCATATCCGCAGTTCCTCCTCATTTGGAGGACAGGCATTGATAAGCAGTCTTTGAATAAAACAATTCCATCTCTTTTATCTCATGGACTTGTAAATGTGAGGAGTAGGGTGCTGTGATTGGTAGGGGTTGGGGTTGAGGATTATCCTTTAAAGCTGTCAGCTCAGTTACAGTTTCATGGTGGAGCAAGTTCTCAAATGTTCAAAGTTTTCAATGTGGGGAACCTGTCTGAGCTGAGCATAGAAGGCAGTAAGGCTAAGAACCAACAGTCGAGTGGAGCTTTGAACTGTGCTTGTATGACGTAGAGCGAGTAATGACGTAAATTAAAGAAATCCTGAGGATCATCACTGTGATTTAATATCTTAACTCCTTGTGACCACCCCTTTCACTGACCAAGGTCCACTCTAACCCTTGGTGGGGAGAGTTGTAAGGTTTTTGACTTGGAGTGCCCCATTCCAGGAACATTAGGTTTAAGTCTTAGCTAGAGCAGGTTCAAGAATTTTAAAAGGTAGGCGATTGGTAATATAAGAGAATTGCTGTGTCTGATAGTAGAAATCCTAGCTTCCCACCTCCCTTAAGATTTTAGAAACCCGTTTTAACAGGGTTTTAAGAACCCCGGGTTCCTAACCCCACAGAGGGTTCTTGTCATTCTATTCCTCATCATTCCTCAATCTCTAAATTCATTTATTTTTATGTATTTGATTCCTTTTAGGAAGAAAATATCCACCCCCTTACAAGCATTTCTGGACGGCTGAGAGCTAATTCGGCCCAAGGCTGGGGGCTGTGTTTTGTGTGTGTATATAAATTTGCACTGAAGTCTTGTTTCAGAAACCAGACCACTGAGGAGAGCCTGCTGAGCTGAGGCCACGGCCTGTGTGGCTGGGGGAAATGAGTTGGTGGATACCTTCTGGGCTTTTGAACTTGCCCCATCCTCCTGCCCCATTTCCCTCTCCCCTATGTGTCTGACCCTGTCTTACCCATTGCGAGTTCAAGAGGTGCGGCACCTCCGAAGCATCAATGCACACACCTGCTGTTGCTTTTGATTTCTGGAAGGCATGTAGTTTCAACTTGTAACAAAAATATTTGTAGTCTTCAATAAACTGTGGTTATTTCTTTAGCTAACTCTGGCGTTCTTTCCATGCGTGTCTTTCTGGACACTAGGAACCAATGCTGTGCTGTGGATGAAGGGTGGAGGGTGGCCTTTTAAATCAAACCCCAGCATAGCCAAAGAATTGTCAACTTTTTAGTATAATGGTTTGATTAAGGTGGGGGGTGGGGAACAGCCTGTTTCCAGCCTATTGATTGGTTGGTAAAGAAAACTATTTGTAGAAAGTCCCAGATTCCCCAGTCTTATATATTGCTTCACTTTTCCATTTACATCTTCCCTTTGCCTCTGACATAAGCAGAGGGGAAAGAACAAAGTTTAGAGTGTCATGTTATGGTGAAAGGCAAAGAGAGGCTGTTCAGAGCTGTTAAAGAAATAATCTTCCAAGGCTTAATTCCCACATCTGGTCCCCAAAGGCCAAGTGGCTGAATTCTGATAAAGTTCTTAGGGATCAGCTAGTTGATGACTCAAGTTCTGTGGAAACTGCTAGCCTGGAACCTTGTCTTAGTTCCTCGAAGGCTTTTTAGAGATTGTGATTGTAAGTGGTTTTGCTCTTATGGGTGTACCTAAGGGTCTGTGGGAGTGGTTTGGTCAGACATCTAGACTATGGAGATTCTAATCCCCACCCAGTCCAACTAGTATATCATCAGCACTTTGTTTTTATAGTTAAGTTAGTGAGATCACCACCCTTATTCGGAAAGTATTCAAGTTCCCTTGCATTTGTTCTTAGCCCTCTGGAGTATTTTGCTCTGTGGGGTATGACCAGTTTCCCAAAGGCTCCCATGCTGGAAAGCCTGATTCTTGTTTCTCCTCCCTGCCATCACATTATGTGGGTATCATCACTATTGGGAGAGGATGATAGGCAAGGAGTGTTGATGTTGAAAGCAACAGAACTAAATCTAATAACCTTGGTGAGGAGTAGAGAAATCAATACCCACATTAAGGCCGTTATGGCTGTGACACAGAGTATTCTTATTTTTCCTGCATTTCTAGTCCCTTCAACCACACATCCAAGATAAGGTCCCTGGAATAGAAGTTAAAGTTTTTAGCATATTTAGAATGAGACCAGGTAGTGTTGCACTGGGGTTAAATTCCTCACTGTTTCTGAGCTTGAGAATCCAGTTAGTCATTTCTCCCATCCTATGAGGGGCACCTAGCCTGCCTTTGCAGAGGGTGACCAAGTAAGCTTGGGTCTTTTTTTTTTTTTTTTTCTTTTGCCTTTGAGGTAAAGATAAATTGTTTGATTTTTGTCTTTAAAATGTTCTTACAATTTACTCCATCTTTACTCTCAGATCTTTCACATGAACCTCCTTATTAGATCTTTTCCATAACTGAACTCCCTGTTCTTAAAAGTTATGCCTATTATCCAGTAATTAGCCAGATGGATGCCTGAGTTTGAAAAGGGAAGGGAAAAAATACTCCATTGGCTCTTTGAGAAGTTCCTGGTGATGTTCCCTTCTTTTATTTCAGCGCCTTTAAAGCACAGAGAGTTGATATTTAGAAGTTGGAGAAGTATTTTTTCTTGCTTGGTTTTTGTAGTTCTGTTTTTTTTGTCCTAGTTGGTGTTTACTCCTCATAGGAACTAGCTGGATTTATGATGTGGGAGGGTTTTCCAAGGTTAAGATGCCACTTTTATCAGAAAGATTTTAAAGTGACTGTTTAAGACAGGTGGGCTTAACTTTTGAAGGCTACCTTTGTCCTGAGCATTGGGAGGATTTGGGTTCTGGAGTCTGAGGAGGGACTGTTATTGAATTGTGGGTTGAATGGAGGATTCCTTATTTGTGATTGGGTCACTTTAGCACAGTGCTTCTAAAAAACTTTTCCAAGAAAATGCTTCTAACAGTAGAGAAAGAATGTGTACCTCTGAGGGTAAGGATCCAAGTACATAGAAAATCCAAAGATTTTTCTGGAACTCCACTTTATCTTCTCTGGAATGGATACATCTTTTTAAAAAAAAAATCCTACTTCTACTTGAATTACTTACTTTCCCTCAAATCTTTGCTTAAAATTTGAAAGTTTAAAGGATGCTAGATTATTCCATGGATTTTCCTGTCTCCTTGATGGGTTTCTCTATCACACGTATTAGAGTGTAGTATGTGTATTTGAGGAGTGTAAATTAAAATGAGGTGTTAAACTGCTTTGATTTCCTTAAAATTGGAGTGATACTAGTTTTTTCTACAGGAAACGTGGAAGTTGGGGTTAATGCTTTTATCTCATGGAGAAGCTGAAGTTGTAAACTGGAAGTAACATTTGATTTCTGTGTTCCACCTAGGCTGTAGGAGATCCCCTTCCCACCCCACCATGCTTAGGCTTAAATTGTATAAATGGAAATTCATCTTTGTGCCAGCCTTTTATATCCTAAGTATATAGCCTAGAAGTTTCAAAACTGGAGGGGCTGAAGTCTAAGACTAGTGAGCTGAAGCTTTGAGAATGGAATTGTTCCAGGGATTAAATTGGCCTGCTCCTCTGGTTCTACTTTATGTTATGGCAGCATAGATGTGAAGCCCAAAAATGTCTCTTGAGGAAAAGAAAGAGACAGATGACTGAACTCTTCAGGGGCAGGACTGAGTGGAGTTTGGGTAGATTGATTTGAAGTGGACATTAAAGGTTTATTACATTTCTGTTGGGTTTTAGGACAGCATGTTTTGAAATTTATATATGGTAATGAGGCTTGGTTATATCCCTGTGTCCCGTTGCCCCCCCCCCCCCCAAAAAAAAAACCAACTCACTTTTCTCACATATACACTCAACATACTCTTAGAGCAAAAGAACCCTTGAGGAGCCTTTGTGTCATGAACTTATCTCTTGGGACTAACTTAAAGCTGGAAAAACAGGCCACAATTCCCTTGCAGTGGTATAGCTAGAAAGGCTACAGATATCACCTCATCCCACAAACAGGGACCAGGCAGCTTGCTGAGTTAATCTTCCTGTCTGTTTCCTCCTCCCTCAGGTGTATCAGTCACCTCCAGTAACACAGGCGTGCCAGATATCTCGGGTTCTGTGTACTCCAAAACCCAGGTAGGTGCCTGACTAAACAGAAGTGGAAAAAGAGTAATATGTACGTAAAAGAGGTAGAGTTATGAAGGCTACTGTGGACAAGAACATAGCCTTGGCTTGGTGCCCATAGCACAATGGTTATGTGGTGGGTTTGAACCCAGCCTGGGCCAGCTATGACAACTGCAACAAAAAATAGCCAGGCGTTGTGGCAGGTGCCTGTAGTCCCAGCTACTTGGGAGGTTGAGGCAAGAGAATCTCTTAAGCCTAAAAGTTTGAGGTTGATGTGAGCTGTGATGCCACAGCACTGTACTGAGAGTGACATAGTGAGACTCGGTCTCAAAAAAAAAAAAAGAACATAGCCTTAGGAGAGGTTTCAGGAAATCCACCCTGCCTATTCTAAATGTTAGAATTCTCTAGACTTCAGTTTCTCCAAGAAGTTTAAATTTAGCTCTCTGAGAAAAAACAAGAGAAATACAATAGGAAGGTGAGATGTGGCAGGTTGTAACATGTCCTGTGATTTACTGTGCCACTGTCCTGGCCTTTTTACTTACTCTCTTTTCATAACTTTGCAAGAGAATGAGTGGGAGAATGAAGGGAACTGAGTTAATTTCATTCTTTGTGAGTAAATCTATAACAAAGAGTGGGAATGGAGAAGGAGACAACCCAGGAACTAAGTGAAGAATTTGAGTTATCCATGGGTTTGTGTTCTGTTGCTTTTGTCGCCTATCAACATGAATAATTAAAAGCTTGAACATTTGGCAGGATCTCACCTATTGAGCACAATGCCTGGGTGGATACCATGCTCCCGGGTGAGGGGTTCTTCTACAACTAGAACTTTACGTTGGAAGTGAGAACAATGTAATCTAAAAACATGTACCTTTCTATTAATTTGAAGTTAAAACAATAAAAGCTCTGGCCAAGCATGGTTGCTCGCGCCACTAATCTCAGCACTTCTGAGAGGCCAACGCAGGGATCACTTGAGTACAGGAGTTCAAGACCAGCCTGGACAACATAGTGAGATCTTGTCTCTACACAAAGTTTTAGAAATAGCCAGGTGTGGTGGCACACCTGTGTTCCCAGCTCCTTGGGAGGCTGAGGTGGGAGGACTGAGCCCAGCAGTTCCAAGTTACAGTGAGCTATCATCAGGCCATTCTACTCCAGACTAGCCAACAGAGTGAAACTCTGTCTCTTTAAAATAATAATAATTAAAAGCTTGTTATAAAACATTAGGGTTTTGTGGAAAGTGCTTCATGACCATGACCTTCAAATATCCAAGGAATTCTAATTCTACCCAATTCTAGGAGGAGGAATGCCAAGACTAGGTGGCAGGTGTCATGTTTGTAGATGACATTAGTTTTCTTTTTTTTTCTTTTTTTTTTTTTTTTTGAGACAGAGCCTCAAGCTGTCCCTGGGTAGAGTGCTGTGGCAACACAGCTCACAGCAACCTCCAATTCCTGGGCTCAGGCGAGTCTACTGCCTCAGCCTCCCAAGTAGCTGGGACCACAGGCGCCTACCACAACACCCGGCTATTTTTTGGTTGCAGCCATCATTGTTGTTTGGCGGCCCGGGCTAGATTCGAACCCGCCACCTTAGGTGTATGTGGCTGGTGCCTTAGCCGCTTGAGCCACAGGCACTGAGCCATGACATTGGTTTTCAAAGTGCTTTCACATTCATCCTCTTATTTGATCCTTGGAACAGAGAGGCCACTGGCATCCCTCTTTTACATATGAGGAGACTCAGGCTGAGAGATTAATTTGCCCAGGATTGCACAGGTATTAAAGAGCAGTGCTGGGACAGAGACCTGAGTGTCTTACTTTAGGTGTACTGTTCCTTCTATGACACTGTCCTATTTTCTGAGGGTAGGGGAGCTTGGGCTCAGAAACTCTCAGAATTAGTTTGCTGATCCTTTTTACTCTTTCTTCTCCTGGCCGCCTGGACAGCAGTCCTTTGAGAAACAAGGTTTTCATTCCGGTACTCCTGCTGCCTCCTTCAACTTGCCTTCAGCCCTAGGAAGTGGGGGGCCCATCAATCCAGCCACAGCTGCTGCCTACCCACCTGCCCCCTTTATGCACATTTTGACCCCCCATCAGCAGCCGCACTCCCAGATCCTTCACCATCATCTGCAGCAAGATGGCCAGGTAAAAAAGTCTTGCCCTCTCCTTTCCCTTCCTCTTCCTTCCGCTCCCTTCAAACTGCCTTCCCTTTCCTTTTCTTAACCCTTTCTCAGCACCACCTTCACCCAGTCCCTCCCCAGTGCCAGCCGTGGGCAACAGCACATACACATGCGCACATAACAGAGCAGCCAGTAAAGGACATTTTGGAGAAAGGGCCAGATTGTAACTGTTTTTGCTCAATTCCTTTGGGGCTTTTCTCTTACACCTCTTCTCATGCCACAGTTGTCATAGTCCCATTAGACCTGGGCCACATCTCTCCTCTTACCTCTCCCAGCCTTCTCCCTTCCCTGGCACTATAGCTTTCCCTTCTAATGGTAGAGTTCTATTGTCAAAGTTTGTCCCTTTATTTTCCATATATCCTGGTTCTGCCTCAGCTACCATATTTGCAGATGATTCTCTGTTGCCAGCGCCAGCAGGAGGAACAGGTAATGAAACTGAATGATGATATGCTTGAATCCACTCCTTTTCAGTCTCCATTTCACTTCCACAGTCTCAGGGAACTTGAAGAGAAAAGACTGCACGGTCACAAGTCGGGATACACAAACACAAACACCTTGCCGAGCTCTCTGGCCTCCCCTATCTCTCTCCTTCCCTACCCAATACCTTCTTTTATCTTTCTTCCCCTCCCCAACTCTGGGAAACACTTGGTTACTGGAATGGAAAAGATTCTTGGGGTAGTGTCGGGACCCTTTGGCTTCAGACTGTCCTACCTTGCCTGAAATGGGCTCACAGATGGGATGTGTGGTAGTGGGAGGATCCTGGGTTGGTGCACGTGGCCTCTTTAGAGCTTCATCATAGGGCTCGCTCCGGAGCTAGAACAAGGGCTTCCGTGTTCTCAAAGACAGCTTTCCAAATTGAGGCATTCATGGGAAATCAATGAAAATGAAATTGTCTGGTGATCACTTATCTCCAAGAACAGGGAAGGGTGGTGGGCTAATGGGAGAAGGTAGAATTGAAAATAAGTGAAACTGGGCAGTGCCTGTGGCTCAGTGGATTGGGCGCTGGCCCCATGTACTAAGGGTGGTGAGTTTGAACTCAGCCCCAGCCAACCTGTAACAAAAAATAGCCGGATGATGTGGCAGGTGTCTGTAGTCCCAGCTACTCGGGAGGCTGAGGCAAGAGAATCACCTACGCCCAGGAGTTGGAGGTTGCTGTGAGCTATGATGCTACGGTACTCTACTGAGGGCAATAAAGTGAAACTGTCTCAAAAAAAAAAAAAAAAGTGGAATTATTTTGTCTCCCAAGGTATCCTGCTTTCTTTTCATCTTTTCCTTATTTGAAGGTCAAAAGGGCTGTAGCTGCAATGTAGACCCTATTTTCTGTGGTTGAGAACTAACAGTAATCAGGGGGATGGGAGAGAAGACAGTGTGCACATCTCCATCTGAAGACATCACAGATTTGTCCCACTAACTATTTTTTTCCCCTCCCCCTCCACCCATTCCTCTGCAGACGGGCAGTGGGCAGCGTAGCCAGACCAGCTCCATCCCTCAGAAGCCCCAGACCAACAAGTCTGCCTATAACAGCTACAGCTGGGGGGCCAACTGAGGCCCTGACCCTCATCTCTGGTCGCATCTTCTGTGAGGGCTTCTCAGCCTGGAAACCATGGAAACAGCATCAAAGAGAGAAGGGAATGTGGGGGGATTCCGCTACCCTCCACCCCCAGCAACCCACCCCATGCCTCAGCTTCATGTCTGTCCCATTCCCATGCCACCCCCACCCTGTTGTATGTATTATAGGATTTGTATTTTCTCCTTCCTTCTTTCCTTCTTCCTCCTCCTCCTCTTCCTCCCCACCTCCTTGCATTCAAGATTATGAAACTTTGCTGTGGGCCCTGCCCTTCCTTCACTTCCTCCTGTTCACCCTGGTGGTATATGGGTGAGGTGGGGAGGGGGGACCCCCAAATATATATCAGCCCAACAGCCCTAAGTCTCCTCCTTTATTATTAGGAAAACAAAACAACAAAAAATGGCGTCATATGAACAGCATTGTCAGATGAATTAGTTGAAGTGTTCTTTTTTTTTGTACTGTGTCCTCAGATTTAATGGATTAATGTGTCTTGTATATATAAAAAGAAAACCTCTACCTTCAGCCTCGGCCCATTCTTGTTCCATCTGGGATACTGTGTCTCATACCAACAGGGCCTCTAGGCTGCCTTAGAAGGCAGTGGAATAAAATGAAATGTTCACCCTGTAAGAATTCCTTTGACCTGAATGAGCAAGTAGTATCTTGACCTTCAGGGGATTTCCTTCCCTTCATCCCTGAGAATTTCATAAACTAGTAGGTAACTGGAAAGAACCAGCACAAATCTTCATGCCCTCCAGAATCTCTCATATCTACAACAGATGTCATGCAGTAAAGGGAGTGGGATGGGAAGAAACTAAAGAGGAGCTGACACCATTTCAAAAAAAACCAAAAATGGCTTTATGGAGTTTTAAGTAGGAATTAGGTGGGTCCAGGCAAATAAACTGAAAAGAAGTGAGGGCAGCATACACTCTTGTCTGGCAAAGCTAAAACTTAGGGCCTGCTCTGCCCAGGAGTGGGTGCCCTCCTGTAGCAGCATCACTATACTGAATCCTTCAAAAAAAGGTCTAGAGCAAAGTCTGGCCTGGGGATGGATACAGGAAAACGGTGGAGAGGCTTTGAAAATCAAAAGAACAAGAAAACGAGATACTAGAATAGCTCCAGGCTGTTCTTCCTAGGACTCATCTTCCTATCCCTTAGTTTCTCAGATTCTTTATCTTGCTGGTTGCAGAGCCTGCCTGGAAAAATTGGCTTATGTGCACCACACTGGAAAGGAGTTGTCTTGAGCCACACATTGAATAGCACAAACACGAGGGTTTTCTCGTCCCTCGCTGGCTGGTTCGCCTGCAGGCCGCCTTGGCTGGGTCTCGCTGCGCAGCCCGGTGCCCAACCTCCCGCCTGGGCCTGGACCTGGCCCGCGCCGAGCGGCCAGCGAGCCCTTACATGGGCGGGTGGTAGCGGCCGCAGGGCCGGGGCAGCGGGTACCGGCCTTGCAGCTAGGCTGTCGCAGCTCGAGGGCCGCGAGTTCGAGTATCTGATAAAGAAGCGTTCGGTGATTATCTGGCACAATTCGTCGCAGAGTTCGGTAGACACGAGCATGGGACACTCGAGCTTCATCTCGGGCGCCACCTTGAGATCTTCGTGCCCCGGAGCGGCGGCCGTATTGGGGCGGCCCCGGACGCGGCGGCCACGCAGCCCAGGCCGACTCGGGCGGCGACTTGTACCTGCTCTGCCTCTGCGAGAAGGCCGTGTTCGTGGACGGCGTGTTCCAGAGGCTCGGGGCGCCGCCGCCGCAACTGCAGCGCGCGTGCACGTTCAGGTTTCGGAGCACAGACATCAAGACCACATTCACAGTCTTCAGCGAGAAGAGGGAGAAGCAGGCGGCGCCCGAGTCCCCAGTGAAGGCCGTGCAGATGCACTTCTCGGCCCTGAACATCAACATTCCAGACTCTATGGCCCACCTCATCAGCACCTTCCCCACGGGGACCATCAATGCTGACGATTCTTGCCCATCCAGCTCCCGGGGAGAGGGGTCTTCAGGGTACAAAATGGGCCAAGTGATGCCATCTGACTCAATTTAATGGCCGAAAACTCGCGGCCAGAAAATGGAAAGGAGGCTTCTGGTGGAGGCAGCCAAAAGGATTGTTCAAAGCTACCTTATTCCTATGCACAAGGAATAATAATCGTACAAGCAGTTACGATGGCTCCTGATAAACGACTCACCCTAAATAAAATTTACACACCTACTACAAAAATGACCAAAAATGACCCCTACTACAGGACTGCGGACGAAGGCTATCAGAATTCCATTCGCCACAGTCACTCTGAATCGTTATTTCATCAAAGTACTCAAATTAATAGAACAGGCGTTTAGGAAAAGACGGCCTAGGGCGTGGCTTGCTTTAGAACCCCTCTGGTACCGCTGTCTTCTAGGCGCCCAGCCTCTCCTGTCTGCTCACTCCCGCGGCGCCCAGACCCCCTGACTCAAGAGCCTGTCCGGGGAAGGTTGGCGGGTACCCTGGACCCTGAGCCTGACGCCTCACAGCCCAAACTCGCTGTCATTCAGGAAGCTCGGTTTGGGCAGAGGGCACCAGGGTCAGCTCCGCCCAGCCAGCCACTCTTCATGCTGTTCAGCAACAGCTGCCACAGGCGGTTAAGCCCGTCACTTACACGGCTGCAGCCCCAGTAAGCACTCCAACATCCCAGCCGCCCGTTGTGCAGACAGTTCACGTCCTCCATCAGATACCAGCGGTGTCGGTCGCCAGCGTGGCATACTGCTGGGCCCCAGCAAACATACTGCTGCGGGACAAGCCATGGTCACTCAGGCGGCTGTGCCGGAGCCCTCCCTTACCCAGGCGGAGCCGCAGAAGGGAGATCACAGGAAAGTGAAAGTGAAAGTAGATCCCAGTCCCAGATTAGCCACGTTAGGCGCTGCCAGTGCTATCAGTCAGCTGTCACAGACCACCCAAGACAGTTTTCAGTCTCCATAGTACAACAGGCACCTTTAGGTCAGCATTAGCTACCCATAAAAGCTGTAATACTAACTGGGACTCATATGGTACCAATCCCCACCGCAATCCATGGCCAGGTGCACAGTGCGGCAGTGAGCCCTCTGCACATGCTGGCGACCCACACGTCAGCATCAGCCTCCTGACCACAAAGCTCCAGAACGGTGACCAGCTAGAGCAGCCAGAGCAGAAGCAGCTCAAAACGGAGGACAGCGAGAGTATCATCATCGCCCTGAGCATGGATACTCTACGGGTAGCTACAAGGGAGAAGTGTGTCCAAAACTAGCATCTGGGAGAGCTTTCTTACTTGAAAAATATCAACTTTGTGGTGCCAAAAGGAGACATTGCTTCTCACCGATGCTCAGAGCACATCCTTCGGTGGGTAGAGGGCCCTCCTGTTGGACTTCACCTCTCAGCACTGAAAACACAAAACCCAAATGGCCTCTAAGCTCCTTAATTTAAAGACAGAAGTCACACTTGAACAAAACACACACAACAAAACTGGTTCTGAGATGGTGGCTCTGCTGCCAAGCACTCACCATGCTGCTGCCTCTGGGTGCAGCTTTTAACTACAAGTAAGAAAACTCCCTAGACAGACTGCATGTAAGGATGGCAGGCGTCAGCGGGGGGCCTCTGGGACTAGGGCCTCTCCAGAGGCCAGGCAGGACCTGAATCTGGTGGCACTGGAAGACCAGACAGTATTTTGTTGCTCTCATGTGGATTTAGAATATTTGAGGTGTACTTTCTTTACACAATAATGGGGTCTTTGACATTTCACATCACTCTATTTCTGCTCTGGAAATTTTGGAATCACATAGGAATTTCATGTGGATTTCATTTGGGGAAAGAAACAACATAATTTTGTTTTTTGTTGTTTTCAGCCTAGTCCATGGAATGATTTACTTTTGCCTGTCTTGTTAAAGTTCAGGCTCGGCGCCTATAGCTCAACTGGCTAAGGCGCCAGCCACGTACACCTAAGGTGGCGGGTTCGAATCCCCAGCCGGGACCGCCAAACAACAATGACGGCTGCAACCAAAAAATGGCTGGGCGTTGTGGCGGGCGCCTGTGGTCCCAGCTACTTGGGAGGCAGAGGCAGGAGACTCGCTTGAGCCCAGGAGTTGGAGGTTGCTATGAGCTGTAATGCCATGGCACTCTACCCAGGGGGACAGCTTGAGGCTCTGTCTCAAAAAAAAAAAAAAATAAATAAATAAATAAATAAAGTTCAGACAGAGCTACTCTGTAACAGCTCCAGGTGTCCCACAGTAGAGCAGTTGCCTAAAGGATTTCAGCATATCCATTTCAGTGGGTGGGACTGATGAGAGGCACTTGTGCCCACGTGTGAGGCGCATGTAAGGGCCCAGGAATAAGCCTGTTGCAGGAAAGAGCCACCAGGACTCGTGGAGCTGCACTAACTGTTCTCTTTCTTGCTATTTTTTGTTGTTTGTTTCTTTGTGTTGACTTTGTCCCTGGCAAAATATTTTCACTCTAAGTAAAACCAGTCTCCTAAATATTGTGTATGTTTAACATGACAGAGCCATTATTACTACATTTGCAAAAAAAGATTCAATGTTCTATTGTGCCCTTTCTTTTTTTTTTATTATTATTTTTTTTAGTAGAGACAGAGTCTCACTTTATCACCCTTGGTAGAGTGCCATGGCATCATAGCTCACAGCAACCTCCATCTCCTGGGCTTAGGCAATTCTCTTGCCTCAGCCTCCCAAGTAGCTGGGACTACAGGTGCCTGCCACAATGCCTGCCTACTTTTTTTTTGTTGCAGTTTGGCCAGGGCTGGGTTTGAACCCACCACCCTTGGTATATGGGGCTGGTGCCCTACTGACTGAGCCACAGGCGCTGCCCTATTGTATCCTTTCAAACATCTCTGTGGCATGTGTTAGAGTGCAGGCATCCTGGCCACCTCTAGCAGTTTTGCAATTTTCCCCACATAGTGAGAACCCCAGCTGTGGTGGGCTAGGAGCTGCTTGTTCATCCCAGGGTCCAGGTGGGCACCTTGCTATTCTACAGATGTTTGGGCCATTTTCTGATTTGCAGTAGAAAACTTCCTGGCATTTCAGAACTGAAATGCTGAGGCTGACCCTCCTGCAGATATTCAAAGGGAGATGGAGGAGACAGGTGCAAGTGGGGAGTGGGGGCTCCATGGTCTCAGCCTTGCTCCTTGGGAGAACTCCCAGGGTCAGGACAGAGCAGAGAGCAAGCAGAAGGGGCTTTAGCTTTACTGTGAATTTTTAATGTCACCATTATAACATTATTAAATGTAGTTATTTTGGCATTTAATTTTTTTAAAGAGAAGGAAAAAACCCTGTGTTTTCCTGCTGGAATGAAATGGCTCAGAATGGTATATTTAGGCATTTTAAAAACACTTATTATTTATATAAGACCAAATAGATAAATTGGGGCTGTCACATATCACTGCAGATGATACATATTAAAAAGTCTGGAGTTACTGCACACTAGCTGGGTTATAACTCAGCCAATTAGAGAGTAAATTGAAACCATCCTTGGAATGAAACCCTGTGTGTGATGCTGTGTGACAGCAGCGAGTGGCAGCATGTGGAACACTGAACAGATACTTTGGAATATATATTTTTGTCTTGTACTCAAAAGGTTTGCGATTTGCAGAATAATTTGGGTTGTGCTGTTTC